TCAGGAAGCCTACAGTTAGTATCACACCCCGTTATGATTTCAGGCATGTTCCTGACAAAAGAGATTTGGAGTCTCTGGGTACTCAGTAGCACAAGATACAAACCATACCCTAAACCCTAAACCCTAAACCCTAAACCCTAAACCCTAAACCCTAAACCCTACCCTGTGGGTCAAGATCTATTGTTTGCTTCACAGGTATGGGGCTCTCTGAGTCTTCCGGACCTATGCTAACTGCCCATCCTTAATGGACCACCCTAAACCTTACCCTAAACCCTAAAACCTAAACACACTGATGGAGCACCCTAGACCCTAAACCCTAAACTCATGAATGGACCAACCCTAAACCCTAAACTCATGATGGACCAACCCTAAACCCAAAGCCTTAATGGACCAATGGTAACCCATCCTCAAGTTGAGGTTCATGGCCCTCTGTCGTGAAGTGTAGGGCTTGGGGTACAGTAGATGAAGTAACGAATCGTCATGTCCCGAAGCCATGCACTTGTGCAAACTCCTATATACATATATATATATATATATATATATCATATAGATAGGTAGGTAGGTAGGTAGGTAGGTAGGTAGGTAGGTAGGTAGGTAGGCAGGTAGGTAGGTAGATGAATAGGTAGATAGATAGACCAATAGATAGATAGAAAATAAAGCGGTAGATAGTAGGTAGATAGGTAGATAGGTAGATAGGTAGATAGATAGATAGAAAAATAGGTAGGTAGATAAATAGATACTCAAGATCCTGGAGATTCTGATCTTGGGGCGTGCTCTAAGCCAACGTAAGGAAGCCAGAAAGCCAACATTTTGACCCCCAACATAACTCTATGCATATATGAATCAGAATGGCTCAAGCCCTACATTCGAGTTTGGGGTTATACAAGGGGCCCCACAAGCTTGCTACCATCCCACGTGATATGCTACTTAACCCCTAAACATCTGAGTCATCCGGCTATGTTGAGCCCTTAGGGTCCACTGATACTATAGGTAGTATTATTAGGGGTACCCCTTAAAGGGTACCCCTTCTGAACCCTACTTTTGGCTCTCTTACAAGGGACCTTATTGAGAGGGTCTATATCCCCAAGGGTCCCCCTAATCCTAGCTCCCACACTACAGCCAAAGCCTCCAGTAGCCAGCTGCGGCCATCGAGGTACATCGCCCCGATGCCGTACCTAAGCTTTCATTTGTCACTTTCTGGTTCATAAATATCGGGTTTAGGGTGAAGGGGGTTCGAACTTGTTGGGCACTTGGGTGCACTAGAAACACTTATAAACCCGTAATATAGGGGCCTAATAATTAGAATAGGGTTTTTGGGTCATACTATAACTATAATAAGGAACCTCCAAAAATAGGTACTTATTTAGGCCCCCATAGCAGCCCGTAGTTGCAAATAGACCCACTCGAGACTGCGATGCTCGCGCGTCCGAACCCAAGCTGCAGCTGCAAAGCCCCTTGACCTTTTATAAGCCCGAGAACCATGATTCTCCCTAACCCTAAACCCTAAACCCTAAACCCTAAACTCTAAACCCCAAACCCTAAACCCTAAACCCTAACAGGGTTTAGGGTTTAGGGTTTGGCCAGCAGCCTTAAGGACGAAATGACCCTTAAAAGTAGGGGCCCTGTACTTCTACTATGACTCCCTAGATGGTATATGAACCTCTTAAATCCTTCTAGGGCTCATGTCGTCCTTTTAAGGTAACACCTAAACTCCTAAACCCTCAGCCCCCATTCCCCAAAACCCTTAAAGCCTAAACCCTAAATCCTAAAGCCTAAACCCTAAACTCCAAACCCTAAACCCTCCCCAAAACCCTTAAATCCATGACCCCCTTCGACCCCCAAACCGCCAGGGTCTCGCCCTGGGTTTAGGGTTTAGGGTTTGAGGGTTTAGGGTTTAGGGTTTAAGGGTTTAGGGTTTAAGGTTTAGGGTTTAGGGTTTAGGGAATCCCTAGCCCCTGAAGATCCCGTACAGATCCCTTAAAGGAACCTCTATACTACCTACCTGGAGGCTTTGTTCAGGGTTTACCTTGACCTCAATTAACCTACCTTTTTAAGGACGTATGTAAAGAATTCATAATAAGGACCCTAAAAAGGCGGGTTGTTCAGGGTTTAGGGGTTCAGCTTTGGTTTAGGATTTAGGGCATACTTCTGAGGGTTTTGTTTAGGGTTTTAGGGCCAGGAGTTTCGTTTACCCTCAACCCAAAACCCCAAACCCTACTTGCTACGTCTCCTGACCCCGAGCCCTAGCACACCTAGACCCTGCCCCTAAGTGCTTGAAACCCAGTGGCCACAGGCAGGCAATGATGTGGTTTACGAGGAGCATCACCAACACAGCCACGATCACCTCTTTCTTCTAGTAGGGACCCCCTCTCACAAATACCCAATAAGGTTAGGATAGGTTGGGTGTGGAGTTTTGCGGTAGGGCTTAAGGTTTGGGATATCCCACAATCCACTCTTCAAGTAAGCTAACAAAAGAACCCTAAACCCCAAACCCTAAACCCAGCCAAAAAGTTTATGTTTAGGTGCATGGTTTAGGGTTTAGAGGGATTTAGGGTTTAGGGCTCTAGGGTTTAGGGTTTAGGGTTTAGGGTTCTAGAATAAAGGTGAAGGATCTACAAGGAGTGGAATGTTTTTAGGGATCATGGGACTTAGTGACTAATGACTAGGCTCACAAGTCAGCTAACCATAGTTGCAATTAGCGTTTAGGGCTTAGTGTTCAAGGTCCAGGGTTCAGGGTACTCAGGGCTGAGGGTTTAGCGTTCAGGGTACCCGTTTTAAAGCTCCTACCGGACCCTAACCAACACCCCTGGACCTTTGAAGCAAACCTTCTAAACCCTAAACCCTGAACCCTACACTCTAAACCCTGAACCCTAAACCCTAAACCCTGAACCCTAAACCCTGAACCCTAAACCCTAAACCCTGAACCCTAAACCCTGAAACCTGAACCTTGAACCCTCAACCCGACACCCTGAACCCTAAACCCTAAAACCCTAAATCCCTCAAGCCCTAAAACACTAAACCCTAAAAGCCCTGGACCCAAAACCTCTCAACCTTTACATAGCGGGCCTTAATGGGCGCTTATATTAGGGTTTAGGGTTTAGGGTTTAGGGGTTTAGGGATTTAGGGTATGAGGGTTCTAGATTTGCAAAATTTGCAACGGTTCAAGTGTCTATGACTTATGAGGTTTGCTTATGAGGGGAGACAAGTGCTCAGTAGGAATTCAGTGGCAACGCACCTCAACAGTCCTCGACACCTTTAGAAAAGAATACACCTTCAATCACAAAACCGCGCCAGCAGGGCAATCTTCATGCATGTTCAAGGTTTGGGTGCCCCTGTCGAAGTCTTATCAGACCCTAAACCCTAAACCCTAACAGCCTCCCAAACCCTGAACCCCTAAACACCCGGAAACCCGACGGGCCCTACATCCCCGAAACCCCAAACTCCTAAACTTCGCTGAGTGGTTTCGGGCATGTTTGTGGTTCAAGGCACCCTGGAAAGCCCAAACCCTAAACCCCTGTAACCCCTGGACCCTAAAGCCCCAAAACCCAAAGCCTTTAGACCCCTCATCCGCTAAAGCTCTAAACTTCAGTGAGGTTTTAGCCCTAAGGGTCCAAGTACCTAAAAGTCATAAGCTCTCCCAAATCGTAACCTACACAACTACTATCCGAAACCTGACTACCTGATTATTGGGTCCTTTGCAACCTTGGGGTAGGGTCTAGGGTTTCTTTAAGGGTTTCTTTAGGCTTCAGGGCTTCGGGTTTACGGACTCAACTTCGGTGAGGGTTTAGGGTTTAGGGTTTAGGGTTTAGGGTTTAGGGTTTAGGGTTTAGGGTTCACGGCTTAGGGTTCTTTAAGGTTTCTTGGGCACCTTGGAAAGCATGAAGGCGTGGGTTGACAGCAATCCTCGGAAGGATGGACATGGGTTTAGGGTTTAGGGTTTAGGGATTAGGGTTTAGCCCGAAACCCTAAACCCTAAACATTGGGCTTCTGTGGCTTAATTCGAATTCAGGGTTTCGTTTAGGGCTTTTTTTCTCAGGGCTCAGGGTTTAGGGGTTTAGGGGTTTAGGGTTTAGGGGTTTAGGGTTTGGGGCTTAAGGGATTAGGGGTTTAGGGTTTAGGGGTTTAGGGGTTTAGGGTTTAGGGTTTAGGGGTTTGGCATCTTCCAAGTCGACCTCCTCGGTCCCCTCGGCGCACCCACAAACCACACATGAAAGATTTAACTCACCGGGTTTAGAGTTTAGAGTTTTGGGTCTATAGGGTCTAGGGTCTATAGGGTTTAGGGTTTAGGGTTTATAGGGTTTAAGGTGTGGCCAATGACCATAAAACTGAGGTTTCAAGCGATATCAATGTTCCACCTTGCACTTTCTTCGTCACGGCCAGCGTTCAAGACTCTCTGTTACGAAACTCGTAATGTAGGGTCCTCATGGTTAGAAAAAGGGTTTTGGATTCCTGTGTGGTGTGATTATAAGAAGGAGCCCCAAGGAATAGCATAGGGAACTATTTAGAACCGCAATAATAATTAATAATATTGCTAATTTTTTAGGCTTCTATACTAACGGAGACGGAGGAAACATTCCGCACGATCTGTGCCGGACGTGGACAGCCTGGAGAGCCACCGCAAGGCTCTGATTGAACCCTTTTGGGGCTTGGGCTTGGGCTTTAAGCTTTAACCCTCAACCCTAAACCCTAAACCCTAAACCCCTAAACACTAAACCCTAAACCCAAGACTGGATGTAGAGTTGAGGCTTCGGTGTTTATGGAACAAATCGAGCAAGGCAGCCTCTGAATATCGGAAAGCCCGACACTAAAAATAGGGGCACTATTGCGGTTTAAGGATTCGGGTTTAGGGTTTAGGGTTTAGGGGTTTAGGGTTTAGGGTTTCGGGTTTAGGGTTTAGGGCCCCATAAACCCTAAACCCCTAAACCCTAAACTTTAGGGCTTTGCCTTAAGGCCCAAGTACCTAACAATCATATACTCTTCTGAATACTAACCTTCAAACCTACATGATCATTTAGCTCTTTTGGACCTTAAGGTTAGGGCTTAGTGATAGTCATAGAAACTGCTTTGCGGCACAAATATCGGGAACGCGGCAGGGGAACTCGTACGACTGAGATGTACTTGAACATAGGGGCCTTAATAGTCAGAACAGGGTTTCGGGGTATGTTATACTATAGATATACAGAATTTCGGGGTATATAGTACTGTAGTTACACTAAGGGACCGACAAGATTGTATAGGCAATTTGTTCCTAATATGGCGCAAACCCCTATAGCGGCCCTGTTGTAGCAAAGCAAGCCCATGCCATAGTGTCCTCAGATACTGTTGATGATATACATCCTGCATTACCTTATTGACCTTAAACTATGGGACTTATGGTCTACTCCTTATGATGGGCAATGCAGGATTTATATCATCAGCCGTAGTATCCATAGCCCTAAACTCTAAACACTACACCGTTATTTAGGGATGTTTAAGAGTTCGTGCTTCAGGACTTCAAAGACAGACTAGACAGATGGATTTAGGTACCTTGGTTGAGGCAGTTTGGGTCACTAAGATACCCAAGGCTTTGTAGGGTGTGAGTTTTACTATAATCAACCGTATGGAGGGGTTGGGGGTTCTTCTTCCAGCACCGGAACTCGTCCCCAAACCTTGTAAACCCCTCAACACCCAAACCCTAAACCCTAAACCCAGAACCCTAAACCCCCAAACCCTATGCTATAGGGTTTGGGGGTTCAAGGTTTAGGGTTTAGGGGCTTAGGGCCCTATGCCACCCAATTACACAACACCCTAAACCTTAAACCCCTGAACCCTAAGCCCTAAACCCCTAAACCCTAACCCCAAAGGCCAGGAACCAGTTTTTTGCACTTGGCCAAGGCACGATTCGCCACAATCATCAGCTCCTTCGCTTTAGAAGTTTAGGGTTTCGGGATTGGGGTTTCGGGTTTAGGGTTTAGGCGTTTAGGGGGTAGGGTTTCGGGTTTGAGGTTCAGGGTTTAAGCTTTTGGGTCTAGGGTTTCGGGTTTAGGAAGGTGTATTGGTTTTTGGGTTCAGTGTTTCGGGCTCAGGGTCTAGGAATTAGATTCATGCCTTACGGTTGTGAATCAGCCATTGCAGCTTTCTTTGGTTGGCACGTGTCGGGCTCTAAGGTTGCGATCCGACATCTGGTAAACTTATCAACCTGTTATCGTTCGCCTTGTGCAAACCTGAACCCTAAACCTTAACCCTTGCGGCGATTGGCCTGGGCAACCAGGTTAGCCGTTTCCTCTTCATCAGCCAGGGTGCCATATTGGTAAGTCTCCTCCAATAAAAAATAGGGTTTAGGGTTTAGGGTGTCTGAAACTCCTGCTCGCCTGAATGCAACTCAGACCACTCAGGCATGACGGAGGCGTCGACGTCAGCATCCAGATGCCGGCACTCCTGCAGCCGCAAACCTTCTCGGCGGCGTCGTTTAAAGCCTGCCTCTGTGGCTTCTGCCGCCTCTGCTGCGGGCCTCTTGATATTCTTGTCGATGCGCGTTTCTGCACGTCCGCGACCCAGCTCCTGCAATTTTCTAACTTGACTCAGTCAGAAGCAGGAAATCGTTTGGCAAACTTGGCCTGCTGCTGCCGACGGGGAACACTGTAGGTTGACCCATGTTGGCTGACTTCTGGCTCCGAAAGCTTAAAGTAGGAACCTCCACATTGAAAACACCACAGAACTCCAGCTAAAGTCCTTCAAGCCAACCAGACGACAGATTGTCAAAGTACAGTACTTGCAGTTTCTATTCCACCAAGCTTGGTTCGTAAGTCCAAGAGCGACTTAAGTAAAGGGTTCGGATCAAGTAAGAGGAACTTGCAAATTCATGATAGACTCATAAACGACATGCGTAAGCGATCACCTTTACTTGGGCCTAAACCATGGCTTAACTTTACTTGGGCCTAAACCATGGCTTAAATTGTTGGTCGGCTCGCTAGTTTGCCAGCTGGTCAATCAGCCAGCCAGCCAGCCGGCCAGCCAGCCAGGCAGCTTGCTAGCTTGCTAGTTAATTGGGTTACTCGTGGATCAAGTAGTAAGATAAAAACAGTCAGCAACTCATCGCACTGAAGTACACACACATACATACATCTAGAATGTGTGTATATATGTGTATGCTATATGAAGAAATGTCGTCTATGTTGAGGTATATTTACATTGATTGCCAGGATCTTGGAATTCAGCCACCGGCTTTAATGAAGCTTAATCACGCGCATGCACATGTCACATTGAAATTTTACCCTAAACTCGACCATTTTTGAGCCTTACTCCTTACACCCGAAAGCCGCGCGGCCCAAGGCCTTAAACTTGGAAGGCACTCGACGAAGGAAGACATGTGCAACTCGGTCTAAAGTAATGTGTGGTCCGAATTAGTGTGGGGGGGTCCGCCGCCCCCGCCCCCCCCCCTACCCCCGACCAAAAGTTTGGTCCGGAATAGTGTGGGACCGGGGGTGCTTCTGGGTGGCTGAGATTATGTTAGAAGGGAATTGGGGGGCCGAGGAGTTTCAGGATCTGGGTGGCTTTGATTAAAATAGGAAGGGAATTGGGGGGCGGAGGGGTTTGGGGGCTGGCTCAGGCTAGTAGAAGGTTTTGGGAGGGAATAGTAGGTTTCTGTGTTTAAGTACGGGTTTCAGAAGGTTCTGTAAGTTTCGGGGGTGGGGGTTTAGGTCGTGGCTGCCTTAAGATTG